CTCTGCCGCGGCTTCGGCTGGGCGGCATTGTTAACCGTAATTCATATTTGAACGTCATTTTACTGATGGCTCTTCGACGTGAGCAGTTGTAACCTGAGCGCGCTTTGGCGCATTGCTGCGGCGACTCCGCTGAGTTTGGCCTGCACACCCCCTGGCCGTGCCCCTGGGTCGGCGCGGCGCCGTCTACGGACGCGGGCTGCCGTGGCTGTCGCAGCGTCTCCGCTGAGTTTGGCCTGCACACCCTCTGGTCGTGCCCCTGAGCCGGCGCGGCGCCGTCTACGGACGCGGGCTGCCGTGGCTGTCGCAGCGACTCCCACCCCCTGGCCGTGCCCCTGAGCCGGCGCGGCGCCGTCTGCGGACGCGGGCTGCCGTGGCTGTCGTAGGCGGACCGCGCCGCCCAGGCGGCCGTGACCCGGCGCCGTGACGCGACCGCCGGCCGCCCGCAGGACTACCTGTTCCATCTGCTGACCGGCTACTGCGAGCCGCCGGCCGGCGTCAAGCTGCAGGACGGCCAGTACTACAACCCCTACTTCCCGGGTGGCGCCATCAGCATGGCCCAGGCGCTCTACAACGAGGTGAGCGCCCGCAAAGGGAAGAGGGGCCTGTGGCTCCTGGTCCGTTGTCAGCGTGAGTTTGTGTGCGGAAAACAACCGATCTGCAGTTTACGAACGGGTGTTGGTGAAACGAAAGTCGTGGAGCCGTTGGGATATGGACGAAAATGCACAAGGGAATTGCTAAGGGAGTTCGTAACTGGCTCCAGCGGTGTACCGTGGCGGTAAAGACGTTAGTTGCGCGGATCGGCAGGCAATTCAGCGATCGCGGTTCCCCGGGGCTGGTGCAGTGCGCGCATCGATGGGGCGTTACTCCGTGCGACGAGGTCGGTGTCGGTTTGTTGTGTGGCCTGGGCACCGTCGCCATTGGTACCGGCCTGCGGCGGGAAGCCACGGGTCTGGCCTCCCGCGTCCGCGCCTGGGCCGCGATCTGGTCGCCTTACCTTGAATCACGCATAGCGCGATCGTTCGGTTTCGTATCGACCCGTACACTCTCAGCCAGGATCATGACGGCTGCTGCATCCGCTGTAAACCGGACGGGTCGCTGCCGGCCGCCTCAGCCGGTGTGGACCGAGTGGCGTGAACGGCTCCATGCGGCGGAGATCCAACTGCCTCGCCTCGATTGCGAGTTGCTGGTCTGTGAGAGGAGCGAGCGACAGGGCACTGGACACGATGGACGGTCTCGTCGGCAGATCATCGAGTACGAGGACGGCACGCCGGCCACGCAGAGCCAGCTGGCCAAGGACGTCTGCAGCTTCCTGAAGTGGACCGCCGAGCCGGAGCACGACACCAGGAAGAAGATGATCATCAAGGTGAGTGGCGGCGGCGGCGTCTGCTGCCGCCGGGCTCTGTGGAGCCGCCGACGGGCCGCCCGCGAGCGCGGCCGGTGTCGGCGAGGCGTCGCACACCCACCAGTCAGTGTCTGTCAGAGTGGTGTCGGTGGCCGGCGCCTTTCACGTGCCGTCTTCCGTGGCCGCCGTCCTGGATGCCCTTCGGCCTGGACCGCCAACCCCCAAACGCTCGTTTTGGTGGTTTGGTGCCGCATGTGGCCAGTTTGAGGCGCGTTCGCCTCCGCGGCACCGAATCAGGCCTGTGGGCAGGTGAACCCCTGCCGCTGTCCGTGTTTTGTGGCCCGTCTGTGCTGCTCTGTGCGGCTCTGTCCAGGTGCTCCCCCGCGCCGTCACTCCTCGCGCCGGGCCGCTAGCCCCCTCCCCTCCTTCCCCACACACCTATCGTGCCGGGCCGCTAGCCCCCCTTCCCTTTTTCCCCACACACCAAGCGCACCGGGCCGCTAACCCCCTTCCCTCCTTCCCCACACACCTATCGCGCCGGGCCGCTAACCCCTCCCCCCCTCCCCTCCTTCCCCACACACCTATCGCGTCGGGCCGCTAACCCCCCCCCCCCCCCCTCCCTCCTTCCCCACAGACGCTGATGATCTTCTCGGTGCTGATCAGCATCTCGTACTACATGAAGAGGCACAAGTGGAGCGTCATCAAGTCGCGTAAGCTCTTCTACCGGCCCAAGGAGCAGTAGAGACCGGATGGCGGGCGCCGCCGCCGTGTCGCCGCGCTGATCTAGAGTGCTCGCCGGCGGCCGCCCCGGCCGGCAGCGGGTTTATGGGTGAGCGGACGCCGCCGGGCCCGGCCAGGGGCGGGTCCAGCTGACCTCTACCGAACGGAAGAAGAATGACCCTGAAATTCTGACGACTTGTTATGGTTTTACATCGCGTAAAATGTGCTGGTGTTTTATTCTGCACGGGCGCCGATCGTGTAACAGCAGCTGATTTCCTTCCGCCGGCGCGTGGCTCGTGCCCGCCCCTGTGCCCGGTCAGTGCGGACAAGTGTACGTGAGACGTGTGCGCGGCGCGGGCCGGACTGTCGCCCGGGCCGGTCTGATCCGGCCAAATACACTGCGCTGCGGCAACCCCGCCTGTTTGGTCGGCGCGGCGCGGAACTCCAGCACCGGCTCCCGGGACGCGAAGTGTTCCGGGGCTGGTCCGGTGCGGCACGGTGCCGGCGTCCCTTATCGTAAATTTCACGGCATACGTGTATTAGGGGGCCCGGACGTGTGCCGCGGTTCATATTTGGTATTTACACCGAGTTTGGAAAACAAATGTGACACGCGGAATCTGTGAGGCAGGGGGCGTGGTTTCACGTAATCAGTTGTGGATGTGAGCGGCAATGCTACCGTAACTACACACTACCTTTAGAAGGGTTTTCTCCCCGGACTAGATCAGCTTCTCAAAGTTGGGAGGGCGGTAGCCCTCAGCTAAGAGGAAGCTACACCCGTGCTGCGAGGATATGACTGTAGGCGAGTAACTTAAAGGCATGGCAGCCGATTACAAGAAAGCTGTTGTCATAGATCACTAGACGTTAACAACCTCCATACGACTGAAACCTAGTTACGTGGCAGGCAATACGTTGCTGTCCGTAATTTACCTGTGTTTTCCTGGGCTCGAGCTCCACATCTTTCCGCTTGAGCGCAGTGCTGTGCGGAGGCGGCGTGCCTGGGCGCACGTGTTCCGTCGGTACAACAACCGCGTCTGTTTGTGAATACATGCGTGACCTCTGGCGCTGCATTTTGTCCGAGGTGGAGCCTGCTGAACCGTAGCGTTCGTGAAAGGGGACTTGCGTAAGTGGCTCAAACAAAGGTGTCCCAACCACACAATAGCCACGAAATTGCGAAGCAGGCGAATTGAGTTCCTTTATGGGGCGTGCCGGAGCGAGGGAGACGATCACTCGTTCGCTATTGGCTCATCCGTCCGTCGGTTGTCTGTTAGCCGCTTTTAAAATTGTGCTTAAAGTGTTAGTACTTGTTTTATCTCGCGCAATGATATTTATGTTCGGGAGCTGTGTTGTGAGTGATCATGCCAAGTGCAACATGTTGACCTAGATGTGGCGGCAGCAAGTGGTGGGTAGGACTAAGGACGGCGGTTGTACCGTACGACTGTCACATAGCTCCAGTGCTGCATCACATGCTGCGCCGCACTACACGGCGAGACATGACCCAGTTTTCATCGGGTCGGTGGCTGAACCAGTACACACTGCTTGCAGATTTCCAGTTGGTACTGAAACCAAAACGGATGGTGGACGTTTGGCGCGTAACCATGACGTCAGCTGCGCACACAAGGGGAGGGGCTCATGGACTCGCCCCACGCCCCCGTTAGGCTCATGGGGCAGTTTTCACCACAAAACAGCTGAATATAATGCCAGAATTTGGCGATGGAGGAACTATTTTGGCTATTAAAACTAGTGGAGAGCCGAGTGAACATGCCCAGTGCGTAGCTGAAAGAGTTACTTTCTTAAAGAGAAAGGCACCAGGGCAAACCTGCCCGGATGGCTCGTTGATAAGCACTGCGCCTGTAAGCGTTTGTGGGGTGCGTTATTCTGTTCGTAGTGCGTAGATCCTGTCAACGGGACTGGATTTCACTGGTAAAAAATAACCGCCCCCCCCCCCCTCCCCGCAACCCAGTCTCAAATCATGGTAGTCTCCTCCGCCGTAACTGCCCTCCTTCATGCCGTGAAGATAAACTGGTGAACGGCTTAAACTAGTGTTAACAATGTTGACCTCTTCGTGCTAATCATCTTGCTTGGCCCTGCCCAGAGTCCCTAATACATAATGTTCCAAATGTGTGTGACCAGTTGGAGCTTAAACCATTTGAACGATTTGAGATTGCTTTCCCAGGACACAGTCTGTTTTCCACATGCGCCTCTGTCGCACGGACCTTCCTTAATCCGCCATCGGCCATGTAACGCTTGGACATATGAGAACAAGTACAACATTCGCTCCTCGTGACAAGCGGAGCCTGGGGGCGCCGACGCCGGGTTGCAGCTAGCTGGAGCGTTCTGCACGGGAGTATGTGTTCGGCTGCTCAATGAGGATGCCCCGAAAAAGCAGTAGCCTATCAGAGCTGCTGCATGTTACATGTTACACCTAGCGCTCGCTCCCTGTAAAGCAAAGAATAACAAGGTTACATTGATCGGCCCGCTGCCGGCTCATGCAGGTCCGGGTCTGGCGTGGCGTGGTCCCAGACCCGCAGACCAGCCCGCCATGCCGGTGCCGGGCGGAGGACCCCACCGGCCGGCCGCGCGGCGCGGTCCGTCGCGTTGGACAGATGGACAATTTTCGCAGTCAATGGGAGGTAGCGTGGTTCCCCCGTGGTGTCGTTGCTCGACGCCGCACGTTCCAGCAGGGCGGGCTCTCTGTTTTTGTGTGCTGCCTGGATGCCAACGCCTCTCGGTGAATACTTGTCTTGGTCGCTGCTGGTGAATACTTGCCCTGGTCGCTGCTGGTGAATACTTGCCCTGGTCGCTGCTGGTGAATACTTGTCTTGGTCGCTGCTGGTATTTCCCTCGGGCGCTGTGACGTGCTCCTCAGAGGATTCTCACGGTTATGCGATTTTATATTGCGCTTTATGTAATACAGGCAGCTAGGTATAAACCATCAGGTCAATGTATTTTTCCATCTGGGAGGTATGTTAGCCTGTTTGGTACCGCATCGTGCCGTGCATTAGTGGGCTTGTTGCAGCAACCAATCCGTCGCAAGCCCGAGCGTTCTCAGCACCTGCCACAGCGTTGGTGAACGGTGCTGAACAGGTATCGGAACCTCAATTTATCCGCCCTCCGCATTGCTACATGTTCCCAAGCAAAGCCAGAGAAGCTCCAGAAGCCCAGAGGCAAAGCAAGAACGAAACTCTATTAAGTGCCCGATCCTAGCCTCACCAGAAAACATATCGGATTTACAGCGTGCGACATATGACTGCAATGAGATGATATTTGATGCGTTGAGTGTTGGATGTGGAATTGTAATTATCATTAAATGGAACGATCAGGAAATTCATTAATAATCATGTCATTGAAAACCACGGGAAACATGTCCGGAATGATTTCAAGGTAAAGCACGGCTGAAATAATTTCCCAGTGCAACTTCAAGGCCTGTCTTGCTTCTATTTCCGGAGGTCAGTCAGATCACAGAACGATCAACTTCGAAATGCTCCTCGCATGGAGCATATTCAGGATGCTGCGAGCCTGCACCTAGGAGCGCCAGCGAAACATATTCGGCGCCGCGATTGAAAGCGGCGTCACTCAGTGGGACACTAGTAAGCTCTCTTTCGTGAAGGTTGGAGATGCTCGACAAAGCACGGTCTGTTTTCCCGATGTGTAGCGCAAAACGTCCCGTTTCGGAGCAAACTCAGACTATCAGACTCAGATATACGTCCAATGTCCACCCCGAGCCCACTAGCGAGGCTCCCCACGTCCATGAGGTAAGCGATTTATTTTGCGACGATTTCCAGCTTCGATTAAGAGGCATCAGGTGGTCAAATGCGATGCAAAAACGTCGAATCTGATGCCTGCATTTCAATATAACGTGAAATTCAAGGTCGAATACAAGTTCAAATAATAGGAAACTTCATATCACCCAAAACGGACCAATTTCGGATTTCCAAGCGTCAGAATATCCACTGAACACATAAACTAGCATCCGACCCCAAAATCTGCCCAATCGAGACCACTGTACAAGGTCAGATGACGAGAAACTCCCAGTCTACATTGGAATTTTACCTTCAAGGGTGACCTTGAGACGTCAGGATTCTTTGATGGACGCTAGCTTACGCACTGAAGACAATTATGACGTTTAGAATTCGGAAACCAGGCGATAATTTTTGGTTGATATGGAGTTTCCCTTCAACTGACCCTGATTTAAGCGCTGAAAACGATTCAGGAGCTTAAATTTACATTCGGCCTGCAGGTTTTGGGCGATATGGAGTTTGGTGTCACTAAGTACTGAAATTCAAACCTAATGCTATATGTTGCTGGAAGACAGATGTCAGTTGGGAGTTCTCGTACCGTAACTGATCATCCCACACGTTTTCATCGAACTCGGAACCCATCCGTTCTCGAACCGTGACTGACCATCCCACACACTTTCATCGAACTCGGAGCCCACCCGTTCTCGTACCGTAACTGACTATCCCTCACGCTTTCATCGAACTCGGAGCCCTCCCGTTCTCGTACCGTAACTGACTATCCCTCACGCTTTCATCGAACTCGGAGCCCTCCCGTTCTCGTACCGTAACTGACCATCCCACACGCTTTCATCGAACTCGGAGCCCACCCGTTCTCGTACCGTAACTGACTATCCCTCACGCTTTCATCGAACTCGGAGCCCACCCGTTCTCGTACCGTAACTGACTATCCCTCACGCTTTCATCGAACTCGGAGCCCTTCCGTTCTCGTACCGTAACTGACCATCCCACACGCTTTCATCGAACTCGGAGCCCTTCCGTTCTCGTACCGTAACTGACCATCCCACACGCTTTCATCGAACTCGGAGCCCTTCCGTTCTCGTACCGTAACTGACCATCCCACACGCTTTCATCGAACTCGGAACCCGTCTTTAAATAGATTGTGAAGTAAATCGCAAACTTCACGGACGTATATGACGACTGGATCGGTCTCTAAGCTTCAACTTTGGAGGCTCATCTGAATGGCCTTATCGATCTGGTCCCGGTCTAAGAGAGCGACCAGGGGAGATGCGATTTCCCGATCTATCCTAGCCTTTCAAATCATGATGAGTGTGATTAGTCGGCTGCTGTGTTGCTATGTCTCTCAGCTGTTGCCGCCGCCATCTTTCAACAGCAACAGCCGTGGGTCACCTTCGGCAGGTGCTTTCCCTTCGCGACGTATTGCCGTCTCCAAAACGGATCGGGTCACACTCCTCGGGCAGTCGCGATCCTGGCATCTGCCCTTTTGGCGGCGTGCTCCAGCGACGACCGAGGGCATCACGCTCGGCGGCCCGCGCCGCTGGCTGCCGGCCTCCGGTCCAAACTCCGCAGGAGCGCACGCAGGTGGCGCTAGTGCTCCGTCCGCCGCTATTCGCTTGGTGACGAAATCATCCCGTGGCAGCAGGGAGGTCACGCCCTG